ATCAACAGCCTATGCAGCTCCTGCAGGAAAGGTGACATATATTGCACATGTGGGTCTGCACAAAACCATGCAGGCTGCTGCAGTTTGAGCCCATGGGAACTTCTGGATGCTATTCAAAGCATTCCCAGGCAAAGTCCATTGCAATAGTCAAGACAGAAGATGACTAGGCATAAATGATTATGAGCAGAGATTGTTGGTGCACAATTTGCAGGTACACAAAGGTCTTCATGGCCATGATTATCACCTGCTCCTTGAGCCAGAGTCCATGAGTCCATGAGAATCCCCAGATAATACGCACTGGGGCTATATGGGGCAGTGCCACCCATCCAAGATTAGAGATGGAAATTCTCCATGGACCAAAGAATTCCAAACAAAGAGCCATTTGATCTTACCAGGATTTGGTTCCTGCCTATTGCTTCCCATTAAGTCTCCAAGTCCTGTGAAAGGGAACTCACAGCATCACCTAAGTCACCATGGGCCAAGGCACATAGCTGGGTGTCATCAACATATTGCTGATCTCTCTGTCCATGATGGCAGATGATCTTACCCAACGGCTTCATGTAGATGTTAAACAAAACTGGAGAGTATTGAGCCCTGTGGGACCCCACAAAGAAAGGAATAAGACTAGACCTCTTGCTTCTTATCAACACCAACTGAGAGCAGCTACAGAGGAAGGAAGTAAACAGAACACTGCAGACACACACACACTTCCCAACCCTCAAGGCTGCTCCAGAAGGATAGGCCCATGGAAGTCATGGTTTCAATGAAATGCCAAGGTACCTCTGACCCTGCTCTCAGGGTTGGCAGATTGAAATTCCCCAGAATTATAAGCCTTGGGGAACTAGCCCATAGTGAGGTCTAGGAACCCGAGTAGGGAAACTGCCTTGGTACAGCAGCAGCAATCCCATCTGATTCCTGCAGTCATTTTTGTGGTATGATTTCAGCATTAATTTTAGAAAGCCTAAGTAGTGCTTGTAAGTTTATTTTAAGTGTCCTTTTATAGTTTTAAACTTTCATACTGAAAGATATTTAAAAATATTATATATATATAAGTATTTAATATACGGGACCCAGAAATGTTACAATGTGGAAAAAGGTGTGCAGTTTAACAGTCAATCCTTCTGTTCTAATTTTAATATCCTACAATTTCTGGGAAAAGAAGTGAACAACTTTGTTAGGGAATTTGTATTATCAGTGCAACCTTAGCAATACAATATAGTGATTCCCTTGACCTTTTGGCGTTTTTTGTTTGTTTGTTTGTTTGTAATGTCAGCTTAAAACAGAGCTTTCATGAGATACAGCAGGGGTATCAAACTCAATTTCATTGAGGGCCACATCAGCATTGCGGTTGTCCTCGGGAGGCTGGATAGGTCTGGCCAGGGTGGGCGTGGCCTACTGGATGAGCATGACTGGAGTGGGTGTGGCCTACTGGGTAGGCATGGCCAGTTCTTCATCATTCGCATCAAGGGTGCCTGTGGGGGCCTGGGCAGGAGTGGGACAGATCTGAGGATCTCTGGCAGAAGAGGGTGGGACCGGGGCAAGCGCCAAGGCATGGTCCACTGGAAGAGCCTCACTGTTCCTCTCAGGCCATATGAGGGGAGGCTGGATGATGCTGTGGACTCCCTGGAGCCCTGGGCAGCAGAAGTCAAAAATGCCCAGCCCGGCCCTCAAGCACCCATTGCACCAAGCCCAGCTCCACTACCCCAAGGGGGTGCTCAGCTGCACTTACCTCCTCCTCAAGGCTGCTGCTGCTGTGCTTGCTTTCCTTAGCCAGGTTGCTCATGATGGGTATGAGGGCAAAGTCAGAGGAAGGCCCACTCTCTCTCCATGGGAGGAGACCTGGTTTTGTATCCAAAGCTTTTTTAGCAATAGGATAGGAGACCCCCCAGGATAGGCCAGGAGGAGGGGACAAGGGGATTGTGAAAGGGCAGCAGGGCAGGACTAAGGCAAGACTTCCCTCAGACCCTCCCTCTCCTTCCTTCCTTCCTTCCTTCCTTCCTTCCTTCCTTCCTTCCTTCCTTCCTTCCTAAGAACAGAGTGGTGGGAAAATATTGGAGATGAGGGAAGGAGAAAAACAGGCAAAAAACACAGCTGTCACCCTTTGTGCGGAATGAAGAAATGCACCATCACCTGGAAGTGACCAGCACATGGCCCTCACCTACTTCACATATCTGGCTTGGTGGGCTTTGGGGGAGGGGGAGCCATGAGCAACATAAGAGTCAACATTACCTGCACAATGCTGTCCAGTCCCCAGCCTGCCTGGTTTCGGCAGGCAGCAGAGTGCTCTCCTCACAGTGCCGAGAGGCTGAGCTGGGCAGTGCGAAGCTCGCCAGCTTTGCACCTTGCTGCCTGCTAAAATCGGGCAGGCTGGGGGCTAAGCGGTGGCGCACTTCTTTTTGGATTCGTGCTGCCTGGCTCAACCTCTTGGCACTGTGAGGACAGCGCCCCACTGCCTGCTGAAACCCTTCCCCGGAGCCCATCAAGCCGGATATGTGAAGTAGGCGAGAGTCATTTCCTGGCCACTTCCAGGCGATGGTGCATTTCTTCATTCCTCACAAAGGGTGAAACCTCCCCAGCGCGCGCCCAGGAGGTGGGGCCAACATGGCAGAGGCCGGTCCCTTGCTGTTTCCAGACAGCCTTGTGGAGCTAAGACTGAATGCGTTTCAGCATAGATGGCCATCACAAAATTGTACATTGGCTCCTGGACGGCCTGGGCTGGGGCCAAGGCAGCAGGGACCATTCCCTCACTGTTTCCAGGATGGCTTTGTGGGCCACATGAAACCACGTCACGGGCTGCATCCGGCCCCCGGGCCTTGTGTTTGACATGTCTGAGATACAGTTTTCTTAAAACAAAAACAAAAGACCAGGAAAACATCCATGAATGACAAAGTCAGAGGATAATAAAACTTTTGACCCAATTTCTCACATATCTTATTACACGTGGAGGCCAAAATAGTCATGATGGAAATATGAAATTAAATTTAATCAGTAATCTGGAAATAACAACAATCAGAAACTATAATTTTCAAGTTAGGAAACTCAAGTTCCAATATTCACAAGTCTCACTGAGATCAAAATTGAAATTTAAAAAGTAAAAAAATGATAAAATTTGACAGTTTATGCTGTAAGCTTCATTTCTGAGTCACTGACTAGTAAGGTGACCAACCGTCCTCCTTTAGGGAGGACAGTCCTCCTTTTGTAAGTTTTGTCCTCCCTCGAAAAATGTCCTCCTACATGTCCTCCTTTTTGATATTTGAAGACTAATCTGCAGGGCTTTTTTTTCCTCATAGAATACTCAGAACGGCATTCCGGCACCTTTTTTTGATGATTTTTTTTCAACTTTTGCATGAGCTGAGCTATCCCCCTATTGGCTTTCGAAAGCCAATAGGAATTGCTGCTGAGCGCGCCAAAACACCCACCGGCAAACTTTGTACATGCAAGTTGTCTGCAGCGAAGGCGAATTGGCAGAAACTTAGCACCCCTCCCTGCTACCCAAGTACACCATCTCCTAGTTAGTTCCGAAGATACCTGGAGGAGACTGGAGCGGTAAGTTTCTCTTGATCTTCAGCTCTGCTAGGGCAATAATGGTTGCGGGCACAAGAGGCGGGGTGGCTGGGGTGCTGCGGGAGGGGGTGTGAGGGGCGGCAGCGGCCGGCTGCCCCCCGTGCTGTGGGAGCCGTGGGGCCCTTTCTACATGGGGCTGTGCAGGGTGGGTGGTGATGCTGGCAGGGCAGCTGCAAGCGGTGTGTGTCGATAGCAGGCTGCCCCCCCAGGGCCAGAGCTGGCATGGCTGGTGCTTTGGGAGTCGCGGGGCCCGCTTTACACGGCACAGCAGCAGTGCTGGCGGGGTGGCTGCGGGCGGGGCGCGGCGGGCGGTTGACCTTCCATGGGCCGAGCCAGCTTTTACAATATTTTTTCTTCAATTTATTTGTGTCCTCCTTTTCATTGTAAAAAAGTTGATCACCTTATGACTAGTGACTCAAAGAAAGCAAAACAAGGCAGCCAACATGAAAATGATGAATTGTTATTTATAACTTATGAATTGTTATTTATAACTCATAAGTTATCTAGCAAGATGTCCTTTTTCTCTTGTTCCTGGATAGCATTAACCTGGCTTTAGCAGGCAGGACAGCTGCAAACAAACAAAAAAACCTTTACTGGCAATCTTAAGAATGGATTGCAGCTATTAGAGTGAAGTACCTTCTCTAATCAGTTATTGTTGGTGTTATCCTTGGGAGGTTGGAACTTGCTTAAGACATTCTATTCACCTGGAATTTTGAGCAAATCATTGCTGAGATACCTTCCATTCTTTTTCCTTCTGAACTATTATGTTCATACCTAAATTGTTTTTTATTGTTCTGTGCTCTGGATATTGCCTTTTTACAATGAATATATGGATGAAAAATTGTGAAAAAAAGACATATTACTCCCTGTCAGTTTCTGTTACATTGATTTGGAGCTTTTAGGTAATGTAATGGGTTACATTAATGTTTTATAATTTCATGTAAAAATGTAGTTTATACAAAAATATTTGACTCACTTTTGTCCCTGCAGTGGCTCAGCTGCATATTAAAGAAAGGGTTTTTAAAAACCGCACAAATATAGGGAATATAGAGAATAGTTTAACCATTTTTAAAAAACACTTTCTCTGTTTTCTTGCCACTTAATTCTATAGCTGTCCCCGAACAGCTGCAATGAACTTCCACTCCCATAATTGCTACGGCTGGGACTCATAAAAATTGTAATACAATCCTGCTTGAGGCGGAAAGTTTGCATTCCACCGACACAAATTTCGTAGCAAGGACTTTTGTTAACCAAGGAGAAACATAGCATCGCAAACTAATTACATATCTCTGGAGAAAACGACCCCTATCACGGAAGAGGGAGGAGCCGCGGCAGGTCACCGTCTGGAGAACGTCTAGTTTGATTGGGGGATTTGCTGCCAATCGAAAACGGCGATTGGTGGCTTTGGATGTCACTCTTTTTTTCGCCTCCTTCCGTGCTCCGCCACAGCCAGTGGAGCCAAGCGAAGCGAGTGGAGAAGGTGGTGGCGTCTTACTAGAGGTCGCGGAACGGAGGCGGGCAAGCAGCATGGCAGCAGCCTTAATTCTCCGAGCCTCCGTTAGTTTGATGCACAGGCATGGGAAAGTCTGTGCAGACTGGCTTGCTCGGGGTAAGGCAATTTGAACTCGCGCCACTGGGCGCGAAGGCGTATATTGGCTCGTGGCGTCTTGTAGGAGAATCCAAAAGGTGATCGGCCCTCCAGGAAGACAAACATGTTGCAGCTGTTAACCTTTTTCCTTATCACCTCGCAGAAGTTGGGGTTCCTATCCCGTGGCCAAACTTACTAGTCCTTTAGTGTGTAGATACCGGCCAGGGCAGGAATTGGATTGCTGTAAAAAAAGGGACATGTCAGGATAAGGGGATATGCTTTTCCAAATCTGACGGCTTTTAAATCTTCATTATAAGTATGCCTTGGCACGCGCGGTGATGTTGAGTAATGCCTTTAGAGAAATCGGGTTTTGCACTCTTAAGTCTTTACATATCTAGGCCACGCCAATTGTAAAATTTATACAGGAATCATATCTGACTTTTTGGGTGCTATGTGGCTGTTGGTCTAAAGCAACATATGCAAGTCACAAAACTTTATGTAACATCTGTATCCTAAAGTATCCTAAAATTAGCTTACGCTTACGTTCATATTTGCTTTTCCCCATAATACCTTTTTCCTTTTCCAAGAAGAAAAGGCGATTTTGGTTAATTGATGTGAGTCGAGATATTTTGCCTATGTATAAAACATTGTTATGGGTTGAACTATACATGCTAATTGTTTAGAATAAAGTAAGTATCAAGTTTATGGATTTTTGCAACATAAATGATTTTGAAGTAAAATCTTACATATATTCACAAAATAGTCCTTACAAAGTTTAATGGATCTTGCTCCCAGATGGTGAATTTAAAAGCAATGCCCTGGAACATAGTTCTATATTTGTTTACTCAAAATTTGTGTGTATCTCTGTGTTAAATAGAATATATTTCTACAGTCTGTTATAAGACTACAGTCTTATAATAGAATCCTATGCTTGTCAATTCAAAATCCCATTGAGGGATATTCTTAAAGGGAGATAAAGACTTAAACTTTTGTCTTTCATCATTAAAGGGAGAATTGTAATTCAATGTTCTATTTATGGCTGTCTTAATTGAGTGACTATTGTAGCAGCAGTATAAAATATTAGACAATACTGTCCATTCCTACATATCTATCTTTATTCTTGCTGGACAATATAGTAACCAAACATTTTTTGTTATGGAGAGAGTTTATATACTTTATATATTTTGAATTCTTAACTCTACTGTTGTAAATTAACCTCTTTAATAGCAGGGCATGCTATTTTTCAAAAGCCGATGATCATTAGGACTATAGTGCAAATTATTTTAAGCCTTTTAAAAATAAAACAATTGGCTTTATTTGCTTACAATAAAGTAAATTTGTTTTCCATAAAAAAAATTTAGAATGAAAAATATGACTTTCATTCACATGTCATCTAGGATACAAAATCACATGATGTTTTGGGGGAACATAGCTTATCTGCCTGCAAAAATAATGCGAATAATATTAAGATTTACATATTTTTGTAAGGGTTATCTGGAAATTTACAGGAAACATTACAAAACTGCTATATAAGCAAGTTTTCTAAAAAAAAAAAATTGCTTTAGTTGTCCAAATTTCATCAATGTCTTTTTCAAGATAGTATATAGCATAGTTTAATGCAGCCTATATCTGAAGGGAAAAAACTCTACATAGTTATTAGACTACTTAAGATAAATTCTGATTTCTCATCTGCCTTAAGCTACTCATTCCTTTTTATAGCAATAGCACTTAAACTTATATATTTCTTCATAGTGCTTTACAGCACTCTGTAAACCAGGGATCCCCAACCTTGGGTCCGTGGACCAGTACTGGGCTGCGGCATACCAGCAACTGGTCCGCACAAACAAGCAAAGCCCCATCCGTGGGATGCAGGCAGCACACAAGACCAGGCACCCTCTGGTCTGCGGAAAAAACTTTCTCCACAGAACTGGTCCCTGGTGCCCAAAAGGTTGGGGACCTCTGCTGTAAACGGTTCGCAGAGTCAGCATATTGCCCCCAGCAATGGGTCCTTATTTTATCAACTTCGGAAGGATGGAGGGCTGATCAAACTCCTTCTGACAGTAGGCAGAATTAGTTGCAATACTACATTCTAACCATTGCACTACTGCTGCTCTAAATAGCTCCAAATTGCCTTTCTACTAATAATAAGTTAGCAAATTAATAAAAGATTAATACAATTATTATGGCTCCAAATACTGCAATCCCAAATATAATTGCTAATATATTAGCATATTATACTTTGAGTAAAAAAGGGAATAGAGTGCTAAGATTCTGGAAATATTGCTCTTTACTGCAATAATTTGTTTCAGAGTTCATTGGTTAGTAAATTTCAGCTCTTTGCTGTGTACTTTGTTACTTTTTTCTATTGTTAAGTAATCCAGTTTTGAGGGTACTTTTTTTTTTATTGAAAATTTTTCAATTTTACAAAACAATACAGTTCCCTTCCCCGAACCCCCCCCCAACCCTCCCATGCCCTCCCCCGACCTTCCAAGAGCTGAATACAGGCTTAATTAATATTTTTTCAAAAAGTCTTAAAACAGATATAAACCATAAACAAATCTAAATACATTAATTAAACAAATTGTAAACTAGTTAACAATAATATATGTATAAAAAAAACAAAAATACAAGGAAATACGAGAAAATAGGAAGAAAGAAAAAGGAAAAAAGTCTATAAAATATCTTAAATTTTAAATATAAGTTATTGAAAAGCTAAATAATATTTTTTTATATCCAACTTATATTGTATAAAGTCTATCCATTTTTTCCATACCAAAAAATACTTCTCTTGCGATTGGTCTTTCAAGAAAGCCGAAATCTTTGCCATTTCCGCCAAATAAGAAACTTTAAAAAACCACTCTTGCAAGGTAGGCAAAGATTCCTTCTTCCAACATTGCCCTACTAACAACCTTGCCGCTGTGATTAAATTTAACATCAATATAGTCTCTTTAGTATCACAATCAGAAACAATACCTAACAAAAACAGTTGTGGGGTAAATTTTACCCTTCTTCTAAAAATTCTTTGAATATTCCACCATATCTTAATCCAAAAAGCTTTTATATTTTTGCATGACCACCAGATATGATAATAAGTAGCATCCAAACATCCACATCTCCAACATTTAGGCTGTAAGTTAGGATACGTACGAGACATTTTTTGTGGATCAAGGTGCCATCTATAAAACATTTTGTAAAAATTTTCCCTTAAATTTTGGGCTTGTGTAAATTTAACATTCCTCACCCAAATAATTTCCCAGGTATCTAATAGAACCAGTTCATCAAAATTTTGTGCCCATTTGACCATACATTCTTTAACTAATTCTACTTCTGAATCCAATTCTACTAACACCCCATAAATTCTCTTAATATGGGTTCGTCTTTGATCTTTTATTTGTTTTAATAAATTGTCATCTTCTCTAAGCAAACCCACATTATGATCTATCTTCCACCTCTCCACTATTTGTCTATAATGAAACCATGAATAAATAATATTTTCTTGTATTAAATCTTCCAAAGATTTTAATTGCCAATTTTTACCATCCCATCTAAGTAGTTGTGCATAAGAAATGCTATCCATCTTGACTCCTCTCCTTATCCCTTCTATCGCATGCCCCGGTATAGCCCATAGTGGAATTTTAAAATCACTTCTATAATATTTCCTCCAAACCCGAAGTAAAGAAATCCTTATAATATGAGATTTAAAGACCTTATCAACCTTTTTATTAAAAATTAAGTAGGCATGCCATCCAAAAAGTAAATCCTAACCCTCTAAGAGGAGTATTTCTACATTTGTTAAATTAACCCAATCACTTATTAATGTTAAAACCACAGCATCATAATACAATTTCAAATTCGGTATCTTGAGTCCACCTCTCTCACGAATATCCTGTATAATTTTAAGTTTTACTCTTGGTTTTTTCCCTGCCCAGATAAATTTGTTAATACCTTTCTGCCAGTCATTTAAATTAACCTCATTCTTTAAAATAGGTATCATTTGAAAAAAAAAAAGAAACTTTGGCAAAACATTCATTTTGATCGCCGCAATTCTTCCCAAAAGAGATAATTGCAACTTCTCCCAATTTTCCAAATCTCTTTGTATATTGACCCACAGCCTTTCATAATTATTTTTGTACAATTTTGCGTTAGAAACAGATAAAATAACCCCCAGATATTTTACCTTATTGACAACCTCAAAATCTGTCAACTTAACCAAAGTCTGCTTATCCAGATTAGTCATATTTTAGGCAATATTTTAGTCTTATTGTTATTAATTTTAAAGCCCGAAACCTGTCCATACTGATGTATCAATTGTAATAACTCTATTACAGAATAAGTAGGTTGAGATAAGGTAACCACCAAGTCATCTGCGAAAGCCCTTAATTTATATTCTTTTTTGTTAACTTCTATTCCTTTTATTTGCTGTGATTCTCGAATTTTAATCAACAGTATTTCCAAGGTTAAAACAAACAGCAATGGTGACAATGGACAACCCTGTCTAGTCCCCTTCTCTATTGTAAACACCTCTGACAAACCCCCATTAACTATAAGTTGTACCGTTTGCTTTTGATAAATAACACCAAGAGCTTGTAAAATTTTTTCTCCAAAATTCATTTTCTCAATTAATCTTAACATAAATTGCCAATTCAGCTGGTCAAAAGCTTTTTCAGCGTCTAAAATTATCAATCCTGCAGAAACTTGATTATTTTAATCTAAATATTCTAATAAGTTAATAATTTGTCTGACATTATTCTTCATGTACCTTCCAGTTATAAAACCCGTTTGATCCATATGTATTACATGATGCAAAACCCTCATAAGCCTGTTAGCTAAATTTTTTGAAAAGATCTTATAGTCTACATTTAAGAAAGATATAGGTCTATAATTCTTTGGTAAAGTGAGATCTTGATCTTCTTTTGGAATCAAAGATATAAAAGCTCTACCCCATGACGGGGGAATCTCTGAACCCTGTAATATATTGTTAAAAAGCTCACTTAAAGGTTGAGTCATCTCTTGTACCAATG